TCCGGTACAATGGCATATGGCAACCGAAACCGCAACTCTCCACCCTTTTGCAACCCACAAAACCAGTTGACACATGTTGCAGTTAACATGGCAAGTGGATGTGGCATGGCTTGTATCCCGTGTGGAGAAGGCTTCAAATGCCAGTTCAGTGGACTATGTTTGCGGTGCAAAGTGATTTGCCATTATAGCAACACCCACAGGCTTCACATTGCCCACTTTCCTCCCACCCATTTGGGAGCGCTGTCTTTGGCACTTTGATCATTTGCCATTTTGCCTGTTTGCGTTTTAATTAACTTACACCGGCTTAATGAACTTTCCAGGCCTTTAGCACAAAACTCAATCCGAAAGAGGCTGCTTATTAGCTCTTGACATGATTCCATGGCCATCTCATTGTGTCCCGGATATTTACTGGCCCCATTTCCAGTTGTAATTGTCGTTGCGGTGTTGGCCATTCGATCTGATGGCCAACACCTTGGCCATAAGGCTTAGGGCACCTTGTAAGCTGCTTAACCGCTGAGCTCTTGATTTCGAAATGAAGTCGTTCATTGGGGGATAAAGTAAGATTGGGATGGTCTAAGCAACTAAAACTGCTTAAATTGGAACAGAAAATAAGTAGTTTTCCATTTTCCTTAGGGAGTAAGATGATGGAAACTTATGGAGACTTTTTGTATAAGTGATTAGGTTTTTAGATAAAATATTATTGTTTACTAAGAGGGAGTTTATAATATCCATTTGACTAGCAACTAAAACATAAATTAATATGTCATTAAAATCTGTTCTTACCACAATTTTCTTGCTTTTCTGGCCACACAAACATTTAATTTACTTATTATTGTAATTGAGCCAGAAATTTTGCTCAGACCTGTCATTAACAGCAAATTCTAGGAAAATGTCCTTCAATACACAAAACGCTTAAAATAGAATGAAGAAGGAGAAATCAAGTTTTCATTAATTTAATCAATTGAATTTGTATTTTGCCTTCGGCAAGGTTAATGGTTTCTCGTTTAATTTTTCGTGGAAAACCGCCCGGCACTTAAATAATAAAAAGAAGTCTCGAAGGATGTCAATTTTATTTTTCGACAGCTTTTTCTATTTCCACTTTGGCCCTCGGCAGGCTGTCAAATATTTGATTTGGCCTTGGTCTAAGCTGGCTCTTTTGAAGGCCATTGGCCACTTGAAAAGAATGGCTCTCGGCACGAAAGCGTTTGAATTGTACGGTCATTCGAGTGGAATTTTAAGATTAGTGGACTCGAGATGGACTCGGATAATTGGGCAGCTTATTAAAGGTACCCCTCCTTCTCAACTGGCCATAAGCATTGAACTTGAAGTTTTGGCCAACTTTCTTTCTGCAGAGGGAAACAGCTGCTGGCTGGAAAAACTTTTCGCCCACTTACGCTCGAGTTTTAGCCCCATAAATTTCCATACTAGAGCAAAGCAAAAGCAGAACAGGAAGCTGAACAAACATAGTTGATCCAATTAACTGACTAAGAATCACTTAGGTCGAAAGTTTACCCTGGGCCTCCACTTCACATCACATTGCTTTGGGGCATCAAAGTTATCCCTTTTAAATGTCTACTCAATCCCATCTTCAAGTGTACAACGATGGTGGTGGATCTCTCCTGTAAGTCCTGGCACTCACACATGCCCATCATTTCATTGTCCTGCGGTAGCACCAAAAGGATGTGGTATTGCCGAGCTTTTGACGAGACAATCTGTATTCATTGCCACTTTAATATTTAGCGATGCGTAAGCCGCTGTCAGTCACTTCACAGTGAAGTGATTTTTTCCCTTCCTGTATGTATATGTATGTATTTTTTTTAACTCCATTTTTTCCCAGTGATTTTAAGTGCAATAATTTGCATTGCAACTGACACGATATCACTGTGAAGTGCAGTGCTTCCCGCTGGCACTCACCGCCAATTGACGAAACAAACACGCTAGTTGGACGTGGCACAAAAAAAGAGTGAATTTAAATTGCCAGAGAGCTATTCGAATTAACACTTTTGAAAATGTACAGTATAATTGGCGCTTTTTTATTATTCTCAGAAAGAAATAAAAATCCATTTTCATGTCTGTTTGGTTAGCTGGCCGGAAAATAAAGAAATAAAGAAAATTTATCTGATTTATATATAATTTCTTTTTATATTAAGCAAACATTTCATTTTCTTTTGTGGCTTTTTTAAATTATCTGTTATAATTAGTTTGTTAGGTTTTGGTGTAAATAATATTTAAATTCATATTTAATGCTAAATGAAAGTTTATGTATTTTACGAGTTTCCCAAATTGTAATCCGTTCTTTCTGCAAAATAAGAAAAGTTAAAGTTGTGATCCCCAAATGTAACGGAACCCTCTGCGTCCTTTTTAATCCTTTGACAGGACACCCTGCTTCTTTGCATTGCAACTCATTAAAAATTGTAAAAGGGGAAACAACAAAGCCAAACAAACGGCAAAGGAGGAAAACGGCAAGGCGGGGCGGTGGAAAATCAAGGAAAGATGATGGGGCAAATGGAGGAAAAGGAAAAATCCGCGAATGAGTCAAGGTGAACACACTTACTTTGGGCCAGAGATCCGTTTTGGCAAGCAAATGAACCCAGGGTCCGGACCTCGGAAGATGCCCCTACACAGTCACACAACACCCAACCATTTCCACCCACTTTCCATCCACCTTACCGAATGAATTTCCTCTAGACTTTTGCCTCGCTTCCTTTGTTTATTTGCTCAGTGCGTTTTCAGTTGACTGCATTGCTTGTCGTGGGCCGCAATTCGGAAAAGCGGGGAGAAAAACGCGGGAAAGGCAATGGAAAATCGGGACTCCGCGGAGGAGGTGGTGGAAATGCAATAAGTCACCGATTGGCGACAGGCTGCACAAATGTGTGGCCTAGTGCGAAACAACGTTGCGTACATAAAAATGGGTTACCAGTGCAAGGCTGCCCAAGGCATATTACGTATACGTACGTATACGTATAACAGTTGCCCAGCGTAATGGAAAGCCATAAAAACGATTTATGGCAGTGTAAGAGAGATGGCAACAGGCCAAAAGGGGTTAATCAAGGTCAACACCTTGGGAGGACTTTAACACGATCTTTAGGCCACTATGTTCTTTTTTGTGAAGAAAAATTAAGTCTTCTTGAAAATGTCCTCCTGAAGTTCTTAAAAATATTACAAATGTATTTTAATTAAAATACAATAATTTCTTAATTAAAAGAGAGTACAGAATTCGATCTGGTTCCCAAGTGTAGCAAGCCATTATCTTTCCGCCACGCAATTGATTGAGTTTGGGGATTTGTAGATATCATTAGCTGTCCCACATGACATTTGTGTACGTCCCCGTCTGATTTAGCCATTTATATTCACATTTCCAACCACCCCCTTTTGGGCTATCTGATCGGTGGATTCTGCTGGGGCTGAGTTACAATTAATCGTTGAAAGGATTACACGCCCCCACAGAGGCACTCGGAGCGGTCCGTTCGACTCTCATCTGCCCACTTAAGTGATGCTAATTTATGGCCCCAGCACATCTTGTTTGTTTGTCGTCGTCTCCGAATGAATGAGCTTTTCCCCAGGGACTTTTCCCCTGACTTTCCTTGTTTGCCGCTCGGTTTGTCCGGTGTCATTTTCACCAGGAGTTTTGCGGTAAGTTTTTAAGCCAAGATTAAGCGGCATTGTTGCCAGTTTTGTATGCCGTTGTCTGTGGTTTGTCGTTTGCATTTCAATTGGACAACTAAGAAAACCGGAAAAATATTATCAGCTAACTTGGGTTTTAAGGATTTTATGGATTAACAAAACGTAGAAATTGATTTTGACCGCAGATAATCAAAAATAATCTACAGTTTAAAGGTTTGCTTTAAAGTTCATCTTACAGAAGTATTTTTCATGTCATATTTTCAGGAAGAATAACCAATTTGAAACCATACGGAATTACAGATTTCCAGAGACAATATCATCATTTTGCACTAATGAAAGGCACCAAAACAGGTCAAAGGACACCTTTGTCCAGTGCATCCTGCACTCATCCTTTCCATTCCATGCTGATTGTTATTGTTGTTATGGTTGCGACACCAAATTGCAACCGCATCCGGATCCAACCGCCTAATCAACGTGTGACTCGCACACTAATGAACTACGGCCGCCAATTAGCCAATGGCCACACCCACCACCTACTCTTTGACCTGCGATTGACCGCAGAAGATTGAGTGGCACTGAGCTGTCGAACAACACGGTTGACCATTCGCTATCCATTTAATGCACTCAAATGTCATCAGTCCTTTTGCCTTTGCAAGCGAATCGTCTTTGTGAAATCCTTGAAATGCTCCAATATCATTCCATTCGTGAGATGATGGCCATAATGCCTCCTGTCATTGCTTGTTAAGCTATGAATTCCGAATGTTAAGTACTCAGTTCTGACTGAAATTATTCACAATGTTTCACGGTTAAGGAACTTCACGGAGATAATGCCAATTTATATGCTTAATTAGTTATGACTCTAAGTGATTAAGTTTGCTGCTGTATATTAATAAAAAAAAAATTTTTAAATATACAAATTGATTTTAAAGTTAACTAGCTGTCAGGCATCTAGAAAGGCATTTAATAGAAAATATTGTAGTTTGCCAACCAAGGGTCACTCTAACTTTTAGTATTAAAAGACGATATATCGATATATATTACGATAGCAACAAATACTTTAGGGCGGGAAAGGAGGTGCCGAACGAGGTATTAAAAGAAGTGATAATTTAAACATAACGGACGTGAAAAAAATAATAAAATAGCATTACGACAAAATGTTACTCTAATTCTGAAAATGCTATTGTAGTAATTAACCTTTTTTAAATATTTACTAAATAAGTAAAATACTTTAAAATATATTTTAAATTATTTTGACAACCAAATTAAATAAGCAAATCAACTTCGAAATACCCTAAGAAAATCAATTCTCTTCGGATTTATGTAACTAAAGCCACTAAGATGACTTAGACTCTAACTAAAACGAAGCGGAAATCACAATGTTGTTAGCCTCCTGCATTGTGTTAATCTTTTTTTTACGAAGCACACCGGGAATCCAATTGGCAGTGGATGCCAGTTTTAAATTTTGGAAGTTCATAGCCTCACTTTGGGTTAATGGGTATCAGGAGTGCGGTGGATCTGTAATCGATGATCATGTTGTCTTGACTGCCGCCCAGTGTGTCAAGGGTATTCCGGCCAAAAATATAACAGTCCGCGTGGGCACACCAAGTATAAATAGAGGTGGCGAAATCATTCAAGTAACTGCCACGGTGGTACACCCAAACTATAAGGAATGGGATAATGATATCGCTCTGCTGTGGCTCGAATCATCCGCGTTATCCGATAGAGTGTCCAAGATAGAGATAACTAATAGCGAACCGAACGAAGGCGAGTATCCAAGCAACGCGGGATGGGGCGAGACAGGGCTGGAGGTCTATGTCATGCCCAAATTACTCCAAAAGGGAGTGACTAAAGTCAAGAACCGGGAGAATTGTAGCGAGGAGTTAATTGAACCGTTTGGCAAGGAAATTCTCTGCACACATTATAAGGATAACGATATATGCCCTGGCGACTATGGTGGTCCCTTGGTCTTGGCCAACAAACTAGTCGGCATCGCAGTGCAAGGACATGGTTGTGGACATGTCAACCTTCCCTCTCTCTACGTGAACGTCTTTCATTATCGGAAATGGATCGATCAGAACTTAAAAAAGCTGAAGAAAAATAAAAAATAATATATTTTTCTGAATGTATATTCTTATCTGTTTTTATAAAAATGTTTTGATATTTTATAAAAACATATTGATCTGGTTTCACGGTTTATGGAGAACGGACTACGGAATGATTGTGTTTTAGCTGTTAAATGACACACGTGGCTTTGGGCAAACGGATAACAATGATTGGAAGACACAGAAATATGATTATGCCGGACATGCTGACAGGTGAAAGAGGACTGGCTTGATCCACATTTAATTTACAAATGTCAAAAAGTGATTGAGTTCCAATACAGTTCATATTAAAATTAAAATTTTAAAAAATATAATAATGCTACATATATTATTATTGATTAAAAAATTGTCTTTATTATTTTTTATACAAGATAACTCATTTATTATCTGTGTACGTAATGTATTCCTCAATTTTATCATTGATCCAGTCGCGGAAGAAGGCAACGTCTGCGTAGACACCAGGATTCCGACCGCAACCTTCTCCCCAAGAAACAATGCCAATTAAGTTGCGATCACGGATGCTGACCAAAGGACCTCCGGAATCCGTCCTACATGAATCTCTTCCAATTCCATCGGCACAAATCATGTCCTCAGTTATCTTTGATTTAATATAAGCATTCTCACACTCGGTATGATTAAGTATAGCTACATGGACTCCCTGGAGTGTTGGCCAACTATATGCAGCATCTTCTCGTGTATATCCCCATCCTGAAACCAAGCTCATGGTTCCACCTACGGGAGATTTATCAGCGAGAGCTATTTTCTGTACATGGTTATTAAATTTCAGGGGTGACTCCAAAATCAACACTCCAATATCATTAAAAAAAGTTTTGTTATCGTATAGTGGATGGTATACAGCTTTTAAAACATTCACCAGTTGGCCACCTTTACTCCAATGCGAAGATCCAGCACGAATAGATAACCCCTCCACTCTTATCTCAAAAATGCAGTGAGCAGCAGTTACAATAGCTCGATCGCTATATATGGCTCCACCACAATTGTGAGTCTCTTTTCCTTGCAGCGATACTTGCCAAGGAACATATTCGATAGGAATAGAGTGGCCGCCAATAATTCTTTCCTCTGGCCCAGGGATACGACCAGCAGAAACCAAAGTAGCAATCGATAGGAAAATTAAGCACTTGAAATACATTTTGACTTTGTTTCACTGAAGTCATCAATGACTATGCTGAATTTAGTGCGACTCTTTTATACAGAAAACTGCTGTCGTTGCTTAAGTTAAAGCTATCATTCCTTTAGAAAAATAGATAAAGTCCTATAACTTAATATGGTTTATGGAACACTTATCTTTATGGAAAGAAATTTTCTTAAGGCAGCTAACATGACTTATTGAATTCTTTAGTTAAATAAGTTTTTAAAGCTTTTTATTTTCAAAGATCTACGATAATAAAATTAATTTAGAATAAATTGTTTATAAAGATTTCATACATTTGCTCACGCTGCATATACGCTGTAAAAACAACTAAAAAAAACTTCTTAAAAAATGGATGTTTTTTTTATAAATTTAAGTTTTACTTACCTGCCACAAGGGAGCCAAAGATGAAAAGCTTGTATATATGTCCGCTGTTTATTGGTTTTTTCTGTCCTTGAAGGAACTCCAACCTTTTAGGACAATGTGGACAAAGTGGCCTAAGCTGCAGATCCCTTTCCATTGAATTTTTGAAAAAACTGGAGAGGGACTCTAAGCTAGATTTGGACAGTGGAAGGGGCTTATCCTCGAGTCGAACGGGTATAATATTTGAGCAGATTTTTCTACGTGAAACCCGACGAAAAATTGCCAACGTTGTCTCGCCATTAAAATGTTTTCCGGGAGCGTATATAGATTGGATTGTAAATAGATGATTATAGCTCACATTTTCTTCAAAACTAAAGTGGTTCAGAATAATGCTGATCTCGCTGGTGCAATATGGTTCTATCTTGCCGGCATTTGGGCTAACGTTATAGTGCCGATGGGCATTTGATTTTACCTATGTAGATTCAGGCCTTGTTACTTAAAAGATATAACAAGCGGTAGGAGACTCATCTCACCTTAAACAGAACTTGCTTATAGGTGGGATTTAGCAAAGTCAGTATCCTTCTTTGACTGCGATCATATGGTGCATAAAAAGTTAGTAGTTTAGGATTCACACAAAGCAAATTCATTCTCCCCCTTCAATTGATTTTGACTTGTTCCTATTTTCTTTTTTTTTTTTTTTTATTTTCCGTTTGAAAAGCAACCGAAACGTGTCGGAAATATGCCAGCAATGGGAATGTTTTTGACAGCATTTGCATATGCTGCCCATCGATCCGAGTGCTGTCCATGTTTTGCATTTATTGCCACCAGATGCCGGACCAAAAATCCTACCAAAATGTTTCCACCGAAACGCTGACCACAGCTGGAGGCACCATCACGCATTAGCATTAGGCACTTCCATGTTTCATGTTCCAATGTTCGGGGCGCCGCGCATTCACATTATTTGCAATCCATTGCACTTGTTCTGGGCAGCCAGCGATTCCAAATCCCCACAACCAAATGGATGATGAACTCAGCTGTCCAGTTGCCTTTTTGGGTCATTCATTTCCCTGCAGAGTTCAGAGTCTGGTGAACAATTGATGATGCCACACACATATGTGGGGCGCTATGGATAAATAATGGCATTGAGGGGCGTTTGGATTGATTCACCGATTCAATTCTCTCTGGCTGCATTTTTTGTTTATTGGACAAATCGATAGAACTATTTAGAATGTGTCTTGTAATATTACTAGCATTTTGGCTAGTAGAAGGGAAAGCTAAAGTGTAAGATTACCGTTGGAAAATGTATTCCTTTTTTTATATATATTATTACAAAGATATTATCATTAGGTTTAAGCTTTTTGTCAGTTCATTAAATATATTTAAACAAATAAATCATAAGAAAAACAAACTTCCCTAGGGGCTTGCAACAAACATTTATTTTAAACACACTTTCACCTGTCAGCAACAGATTTATTTTCTGGATTATTCTTCCACTCTCATCTCAGATCGCTTTATATATTTTCGATCTCCCCTAAGCTACCCAAAAATAATGTCATGAATCAGCTTTTTATAGTTGACCATTCCCTGTTCATCGATCCTTCCCTTCAGCAAGTCGTCAACTTCATAAGGACTCATGCGATCTCCACACTCGGTTAAAAGACGACGAAGTCTAATGGCGGAAAGTAAACCGGAATTATCCGTATCGAAGATCTTGAGACAAGATGTAAACTGCTCCTCTTCCCTTTTCTTATTCTTGGGACTTAGCCGGCCTCCGTGTTTTCCCAGACTACTGTATATGGTCATCACCTCATCGAAAGATATGCGCTCCATGCTGGAGACCCTAAACTCCCGAACATGTTTACTAACCATCGCCTCGGTGGGATTGGCACCCATCACTCGGAGACAGTCGCCTAGTTGGCGTATGGATATCTTATTATCGCCACGAGTGTCATGCCCCAGGAAAATCTCATGCATTTCCAGGATGCGGCTTTTGTCCGGCTTTCGGTTAGGAGGCGGTGCTGTCATGTTGCCCATCCTCATCGGAAGTTTGTCCGGCTTTCTTGATGATGGATGAATGATAGAAGGGTTGAGTTGATTGCCTGTCCTGGACATCGTCGGACAGTTAGGATCTGGGAGTTATGGTCACGGTTTATGGGTTACGGACTACGGAATGATTGTGTTTTTAGCTGTTAAATGACACACGTGGCTTTGGGCAAACGGATAACAATGTTTGGAAGACACAGAAATATGATTATGCCGGACATGCTGACAGGTGAAAGAGGACTGGCTTGATCCACATTAAATTTACAAATGTCAAAAAGTGATTGAGTTCCAATACTGTTCATATTAAAATTGAAATTTAAAAAAATATAGTAATGCTACATATATTATTATTGATTATAAAATTGTCTTTATTATTTTTTATACAAGATAAATCATTTATTATCTGTGTACGTAATGTATTCCTCAATTTTATTATTGATCCAGTCGCGGAAGAAGGCAACATCTGCGTACACTCCAGGATTCCGACCGCAACCTTCTCCCCAAGAAACAATGCCAATTAAGTTGCGATCACGAATGCTGACCAAAGGACCTCCGGAATCCGTCCTACATGAATCTCTTCCAATTCCATCGGCACAAATCATGTCCTCAGTTATCTTTGATTTACTATAAGCATTCTCACACTCGGTATGATTAAGTATAGCTACATGGACTCCCTGGAGTATGGGCCAACTATATGCAGCATCTTCTCGTGTAAATCCCCATCCTGAAACCAAGCTCATGGTTCCACCTACGGGCGATTCATCAGCGAGAGCTATTTTCTGTACATGGTTATTAAATTTGAGCGGTGACTCCAAAATCAGCACTGCAACATCATTAGAACGTTGCTCGTATAGTGCGTGCGGTATGGTTATTGCGACTTTTACCAGCTGACCACCTTTACCCCAATACGAAGATCCAGCGCGAATAGATAACTCCTCCACTCTTGTCTTAAAAATGCAGTGAGCAGCAGTTATAATAGCTCGATCGCTATGTATGACTCCACCACACTTGTGGGTCTTGTTTACTAGCAGCGATACTTGCCAAGGAACATATTCGATAGAAATAGAGTGGCCGCCAACAATTCTTTCTTTCTGTGGCCCAGGGATACGACCAGCAGAAATCAAAGTAGCAATCGATAGGCAAATTAAGCACTTGAAATACATTTTGACTTTGTTTCACTGAAGTCATCAATGACTGTTCTGAAATTTGTCCGACTCTTTTATACAGAAAACTGCTGTCGTTGCTTAAGTTAAAGCTATAACTCATTGAGAAATATATATAAAGTCCATAAGCTAACATAGTTTATGGGATACGTATCTTTATTCAAAAAATGTAATAGATAGAAGGTGAAGTTCTTGAACAATCAGAATCAATAACCAAGCCGATGTTCATGCCTCACTGCACGTCTTCTTACGCCAACAAACTATAAAATACAAATTTATAAAAATAGGTTTAATTCCAAATATGTATTAATTTCGTTTTTATCGCTTTTTGGACCAAATTCTAGTGTGACCATAATTTCTTATTTTATTACGAACTTAAAGTTAGAGAACCTTACATGGGCAAATAGATAGAAAAATTAGGATGGGGTATTCTGCTGTTAGCTTAAATATTATAAAATTGGTAAACATTATTATTATTATTATTATATTATTAAAATTGATATTTCATCTAAAGGCTGCCGCTACTCAAATTTATTAAAAAAAACACAGATTCCTGTAAGAAAACATAAATGTTAATGGAAAATGTTATTCTAGACATAAACCATAAAACAAAAATAAGCCATGAATTTGAAATGCCAAACTTCATAGAAATAGTAGGCTGTGATTTTCCGTTCTGTCATCTCATCTAATGACAATTCTCTTTCTAGAAAATTCATTACTAGAGTTTGCTTAGTTGGTGCCCTCAAGTAAAAATAGTTTTTGAAGAAAATAAAACAATTTATTTTTAGTTAGGTTTTTAAGATCTTTCGCAAAATGGGAGGTAATCTAAAGCGCAAGATTATGAAACGCGTAAGTATTTTTTAGTATAAGAGTTCTAGAAAATTGATAAGAATATAGAGTTTTACAGAGGATGACTGTGGCTGGAACTAGACCTTTGTCTATTCCCGTCGCAGAGCCAATAAAGAAGCTCGGTTTTTATGAAAGTCTTGATGGTTTCCTCGGACGTGATGAAACTGATGGATTTCGCGGGAAAAACAATAAAAATGATTGGAATGGCAATGTTTCTGGTGCAAACTTTGGCTTAAATCGCAAATCTGTATCGCCTTGGGAGAGTCCCGTTTCAAACTTATATACTGGACGCAATCCTTCACCACCTGGAATTCTTCGTTCCAAAGATCGCAATAACTCCCATGAGTTTTTTCAAAAATATTCAGGTCACCAGTTGAAACGACCCATCTTGAAAGGCAGTTTAAAGAAACGGAGTCGAAATGCCAGTGCTCTTGGCAACATTTGCAATGATCAACCTGGAATTGATTCGGATATGGAAGACGATGAGCATAACTCCTTCATAGTTGGTGGCTTCCAGTTCCCGTATCCCACCAACGACTTTGGCAATTCCTCCTTGTCGGAGTCCGCGTACGTCGAACGCTATTTAAAGAGGGCTCCGGACTATATTATTCGCATTACGAAGACCAAGAAAGACCCTATAATACAGCACATCTACTGCGACGGGATGAGCGATGAAATCCATGGCAATGACATATCCGTGGTCCGTTTTCGGGACAATCTTAGCAAGGAGTGGGACGAAATATATAAGGGCCGTGATTACCGTAACTGGAAAGGCTGGTGGGAGGATTACCGCTATGTCGATATCCAAATTTGCAAACAGTTGGAAAAGTTCGATTGCTTTAATACAAAATATAACTTTATGATGCAAGAAAGCCCATGCGATGAACCCAAACTAATCAAGAAAGCCACGATGGCCCTGACCAAGAATGGAAAGACTTTTTTGGAAAACATGAAAGTTATCCATTGCCTCATGGACCACACTCTCCTCGCTAGCCTGTCCAAGGAGTCAGCTATTAAGCTGCAAAACATCATTCGGTCTGTTCCCAATAACTTGTGGATCTACAAGTTGAAAGCCATGATCTACGTATGGTTCCGCTACAGTATGTACATGACGTCCCAGGACATTTCGAATAAGAACCTCCAGATAGTTCTTAAGGAGTGGAAGAGTCCCGTCATTCACTGGCTGGCCAATCAGGCCTTCAAAGAGCTCCTGAAGATCAGCAAGTCCGAGTATCCAGAGTACAGTGAGGTGTTCGGAGCACCTCGCAAGGTTGGACAAATTTATTGTAAAGCCTGGGATATCGGTACACTTATCCGAATATCCAGTCGATAAAATTTGCTTGTTAAAATTATTTATATACTTGTTTTCCACTTTTGTTTCCGAAGTTTCAATGTATCGAAAATAACAATAATAAAATGAGCAGTGATATCACCTCAGATGCACGCCTTACATCTTAGTACCTTATTTTTTGCCAACTATTCATGATGACTATGTGTGGTATGCTCCTCAGTTCGTAAACTCGCTGGCATAGTTTCCTGGGGCCACATTCATGTCGTTCCCAATTTTCCAGTAGTTTATGTCAGCGGAGGTTATACGAAGACTGAAAGCGAAATTAAATCCCGAAAGTGTAGATCATAATGTTTTTATGAAGGTAAAAAGTTGTGTATATTTGTGTTATTTATATATTTTTTCCATTAATTTAACCATAAAAGCTAACATAACTCAACTAGTCCTTCGATCTTTCCCTGTTCTGTCTTTTAAATTGCTTGCAATGACAGAAATGTCCCTTATCCTCCCACAAATGTTCATCGGATACTTATGAACTTATCTCGAATGAGTGGTTTTACCTTCACTGTTAGTCAGATGGATTGCCATCGATGTCCTGGCCTCCGGAGAGTCATCTATGTGACTTTACCAAGTTATCTGCTGGGTTTTTACTTCGCCCATTGCTCATAATGCACTTTGCTTGTAGAATATTTAATTAAATGAAAAATAGCAAAACCCAGAGGAGGACCACCACCCATTTGGTTACCGTGGCATCGGTATCATTTTATGCTCACATCCTGGCAAGGGCCGCAAAAAAAAAAAAAAGAAAAGTTTATTTGTTTCGTGGCTGCCTCAGTCAGTCTTCATTTATTGTAAATGAGTTTGCCTGGACGGGATGGAAATGGTAGATGGTTGGGCTTCGCTGGGGGAAAGGATGCATATATGCATGCGGGCCAAAGGATGCATATTGAATAAGACTGTTCCGCACGCAAATGACATTCCAATTCAATTCCGATTCCCAATGCAAATAATTTGCAGCTGAATGCTATTAATGATGGAATGCCGGCTGCTGGTTGGCGAAATGGAGAGACTATGGTGAATATGTTAATAACATTTCATTTACCGAACACTTTTCTTTTAAATGAATGCAAATGAAATGAGGTTTTTGGGCCTTCGATTAAACATATCCACAGGATACGTATATTAATTCAATTCTAGTCAGTGGGACTCTGGAGTACTATAAGGAAGTAATCCTCCTGCGGGCACAGCAACACCTCGTGCAAGAGTGTCCTTAGCCGCAGGAAGGTGAATTCATTGGTGGCATCCAGATCCAGAACCACTTGGCGGGCTTTTTCCCTCAGGGTTTGCATCAATGCCGTATAGTGCAGTGTCAGGTTGTATTCCAGGGTAGTCTTTATGGGTATCCCATCATTGTCCACCACAACTATCCCGATGACGTTCTTAAAAGACTGAAAACGCTTCAGTTGTTCCTCCACTTCAGCCGACATTATCGGATTTTCTAGTGTTAGTTTGTTTGTATGTTGGGAATGTGCTTGAAACTAACGAATTATAATGGAAAATGAAGGAAACTTCAGAGCATACATAGAATACTATTTACTTTATAGATTCTTAAATTATTTTTACTTACAAATCATAATTTTGCAAACTTTCCTCAAGGATTCTTTGTCAAATGACGGGTTCATTTCGTTCTGGCAGTTTAACGAGTCGATACAAGTTTCATGATGTTCGGCATAATCCGGGAGCTTCTGGTGCTGTTGTGTCCGTAAATAAGCATTCAAGTTGGCAACAACGCCGGATGTTGGACTGTAAAAGTTTCGCTTTTGTGGATGGCAAAAGTACGGAAAATTAATTGAATGCTGTTGATGCTGCCAATGCCCCTTCCATGGTCCTGATCCTGTTTCTGAATCTGAATCTGGTCCTCGTCCTGGTCCTGGACCACTCGAAATGCAGATGAAATGTTTGCATCAAGTTCGAGGCGGTGTGGAAATTATGCCACTCTTCCGGCTCGACCAGACTACGGCAGACAAAAGCCGGACAGCCAGACTACGGACAACGGACTACGGACTCCAGAGTTGTTATGAAAAAGAGTGTAAAATTGTTCACTTTTTAAATTAATTAAAAGTCTTAAAACTCATAATGAAATTACTCAAATGGACAGATGGCCGGACGGGATGGACAGGATGAAAAGGATTCGGGCAGTGCATATGCAAATTCCTGGCCAGACTTGAGGGAAATTAAACTTCTTTTTCGACTTCTGGCTGGCAAGGAAATTCATTTGGTAATTAAATCAATGTCCATGTGAAAAACCTCAAATGCAATTTGTCATGCAATGCCGGAGAAGTCAAAATGTGGAAAATACTCTCTCTATCTCTATCTCTCTCTCTAACAATGTTACAAATGGATATGGAAATGGGGCGGGAAAATGTGGAAAGCGAGTATGCATTTTATTGCATATTTGTTGAATAAATAGTTAGTTTTGCACGCTGGGTAAATAGAAAATACGAAATAAAAATAATCAAATTCAAATGCAACAGGAGCCAGAGTACCGAGTTCGGAGTCCTTGATCCTGTTTTGATGTTAGCTGACTCTTTTACGAAACTAAAATATTTACAAATATTTTAGCAATTTATGCAACCTGTGTTTTTACTAGTTACAAAGTCACGATAAAACAAAAACATGTTTTCATTGCCCAACAGCAATTGGCGTTGGGAGTATTTGTTTAAAGACAAATATGCTGCCATGTAATTTGATATTTATGAAAACAAGTTTTTCTTGCACTTTGTAGTTTTTTTTTTTTTAAATAATTTTAATTTGTTATTTATGCATAGAACTCAGTCTGGTCATGACACAAATCATATTTAATTGGCGTTGGCCTTTCAGATTTTGAACTTTAAAATGTTATAACTTCAACTGCCTGATATCTACTTTTCCATCGACATTCAAGCGATTTAAGTCCGGGCAAATGAATTGTATTTCGTTGATATTTGACTCGTTTAATGCATCGGTAATTAATTGCAAATTAATTGATTTTTTTAATAAATATATGCCCGGACATTTTTATCATTCATCTGCAGGATTTCCTCTGTTTTGTCACCTCTCGTTTCCCGCTCTTCATTTCCATAACGCTATTTAATGAAGAATAATTTATTAATCAACGACTCATTGGCCATATTTGATAATTTCTGCAAATATTTCAATAATATTCCAAAGGTGATAATGAGATCACCAGAGACGACCCGAGTACAACTCAAATTTTAAAGTGGCAAATTTGTGTAAGTGAATTATGAGCCAGGACAGGTTAATGAGACTCACGGATTTCATTTGCAATTAGCAAGGAGCACACAGGCACACACATTACCATGTCCTGGCCTACTGGTTACATGTTGGTTAATTTCGTCCTGGCCAAAATTTAAATTATGATTGAGCATTGCCATGGCTGTGGGTGTGTACGTGCCAGCTTTGTTATTAATTGAATTTTAATTAATGGCCGTGTGTGACGGAAAATGCTAGACTCTAAAGCCGATTTAAAAGGCACAATAATTGTTTATGGAAGGGTGGAGAAATGCTGCTAAGTTAACTTTTATTTATACAACTTAAAACAGTCATGGATGTTTAGTTTTCTCATTAATATCTTTTATCTAACTGCGGAACTTTCCTCTTTAAAGCTTAAACACCAAATAAATCGCATAATATATTCCTAAATATAGATCAAACCTTTCTCAAAATGTAAGGAGGCATAAAACACGTTTCAAATCCCTGAAAATCGCTTCCTGCCATCCGATTTGGAGGGAACTTGAAGGCCTTAAATAAACTGCTAAAGTGTGACACTTTCTTATTTGATGCTCGCTTGCTTTTGCAAAATCATAAGCAAAAATGCCGGGGGGTTAAATTTTAAATTAAATATTAGAGCGTGGGCCTTGCGAAAAGGAGCCTCTGGGCAGGATAAATGCGTAAACACGATACCCCACTGTGTTCAAGGATCCTCTTTGTGCCTGAGTGTGACTGTGTGCGTGAGGGTGTGAAAGTGTTTGTCTGCACCTGACGCCTTCGCTTTGTGCTTTTTTTTTTAGAATTTTATTAAAATTTTCTATTCTAGTTGCCTGCTTTAATGCTTGGGCGGCCGTAATGGGGTTGTATATTTTTGGATAATCCAGTTTTTACCTTTTTAACATTTATTTTTTTGATTAAAATAATGAATAACATGTCAGCTTAGCAAAGTAAAATGTTTTTAAATGTATAAAACTTATATTTTGTACTATATTTAGTCCCTTTTCCCATTTTGAATAATTACTAGGCACTTTTTGCTTAGCTATAAGTTCGGCACTTTAATACCCAGCAGAGCCATAGCATTTTCCTTATCAAAGTGAAAAACTTCTATCATATTTAACGGAAGAAGGTCAACAAAGAATAAAATAGGAAGACGAAAAAAAAAAGGAAAAACCTTGACATCACCTTTTTCAATCAACTAAAAAGTGTCTTGTTCGCCACCGACTTTTTCCTTTCTCCGCGGCACCACTGACTCAATAAGCCGGCATTTTATTTGCATTTTTTTCGTCACTTGCCCGCCGTCTGTCCCAAAAGGCTGTCTGTCGTCATTTCTGCTGCTTCGTTGGCTGCCAGCCGAGTTTTTCACTTTGTGCCCCCAACGATTTCCATTTTCTGGAAGGAGGAGGCGAAGGATGTGGCTCAGTAAGAGGTGGGTGACAACAGGAGGCAAGAGGATGAAGACTGGAGGCTGGAGCCATCGGCGGCAGCAAATTCATCATCGTCTCAGCCCGCGTCTGTCAGCCGCGCTAAGGATACAATAAATGTCCTTCGCGGTCGCCCATCTCACAGACAGCCTGTTCTTTTCCAATGTGTCCTGATGGCCAAAGTTACACAGGAAGAAAATTATTGTACTGTTATCAGTTATATAACTATTTTTGAAAGCGTATTAGAAAACATTTCAGAGAAATAAAACATTTTTTAGTACCATTCAAGATACAATATATTTTCAGTAAACATAATATTTGGAGTAACAAGAAAAGTCATTGTTTTCAGTGTATTTTTCGGATCGCTTGTAGAAATGACACCCTGTACCGCTGAGTGTGTCTGAGGTTGAGTGAAATACTCTGTCGGATTAATATGCAGTAGCGCTTTGCATTTTTTTGTAGCCTTCTCTTTGGTTTGTATCGTCATTTTCCGTTGCTGTTGGTTTATTCATTTGCCTTTCCCTGTTTTTCATCTGTTTTCATATATATATATATTTATTTCCTTTTTTTTTTGGTTTTCCCTCTTAGCCCGGAGGGGCTCAGGTGCACTTTGGGGATAACAAATTAAACAACTTTATGCAAGTGGAGCTGAATAAATTGCAGCGGATCTCAGAATATGGATTCACTTGGCATAAGTAGGTTTTTCCTGGTTTTATTTCCTGGTTTTATTATGGCATTTATCAAGAGTTGCTTCGGTGTGGTTCGGTCAAATTTTTGATATATCCTTAGAATGCCAATTGTAAAATAAAGAATATCGAAATCATCATATAAGATTTTCTATTGATATTCGGTTAAGTGTAAATACATCCGAGGCCAAAAACTAACCCTTGCCAATCTTTCACTTTGCTCCATAAACCTCACTGTACTGTGGAAACTCAGTTTGACTGATCTTCCAGAGCTCTTCGAATGCCTGTTTGGCCAGCCAGTGGATGACGGGACTCTTCCACTCCCTTTGGACCATCTGGAGGCCCTTGTTTGACATGTCCGGAGACTTCATGTGCTCATTGTAGCGGAACCACAAGAAGATCATGGATTGCATCTTGTTGATCCACAATTTATTGGGTATAGACCGAATGATGTCCTGCAGATAAACAGATGCCTTCTGGGATAGGCCACCGAGAAGAGTGTGGTCCATTGAGGCAGTGTATAGTTTTCATGTTTGCCAAAAAATCCTTTCGATTTTTTGTCAGGGCCGTTGTGGCTTTCTGTATTAGCTTGGCTTCATCGCGGGGGCCTCTTTGGGCCATGAAATTGTATTTCACATTGAAGCAATCGAACTTTTCCAACTGCTGGCTGATATCCACGTCAATGTAACGGAATTCCCGCCACCAACTTTCCCAACTACGGTACCCACGGATTTTATACATTTCGGTCCACTCCTTGCTGAGATTATCCCGAAAACGGGCCGTGGTTATGTCATTGCCATGGATTTCATCGCTCATCCCGTCACAGTAGATATGCTGTATTGTTGGGTCTTTCTTGGTCTTCGTGATGCGAATAATATAGTCCGGAGTCATCTTGAAATAACGTACGGCATATGACTCCGGCAAGGAGGAATTCCTAATGGCGTTGGTGGCATACGGCAACTGGAAGCCACCAATTATGAAGATTTTATTTTCATCGCATTCCATTTCCGACTCAGTTGCATATTGATCATTGCGAATGTTTCGAAAACTGTCTTTCGCGATGGATCGGTTCAACCCATGACCTTCTGAAAATTTTCCGAAAAACTCATGGGACTTTTTGGCCTCTTTAGAACGAAGAAATCCGCTTGATGTAGGAATACTGCCAATAACTGAGAGCTGACTCTCACAAGGCGATATAGTTTTGCGAATTGCGCCAAAGATTGCAGCAGGACCAATGTCATTCGGGCCATATATAGCGGTTTTTCCTCGAGATCCATCAACTTTATCACAACTGAGGAAATCATCTAGACATTTGTAGAAACTAGCCTTCTTGAGTTTCTCTGTAACTGGGGGAGACGAAGGTCTTGTTCCAGCCACAGTCATCCTCTGAAAAACTCTAGATTTTTACCCACTTTCAAGAAATCTTAGCACCAAAAAAACTTACGCGCTTCATAATCCTTCTCTTTCGATTTCCAGACATTGCAAAAAAGATCTTAAAAACTTTTTTAAAGTTAAATTGTTTAATTTTCTTTAAAAATTTGTTTTTATCCGTATTTAATTTTCACACAGAATATGTTAGAATGATGATTGTTATTTAAATAATGACAGAACAAAAAATCACAGCCTACTAGGACTTTAAAGTTTGACATATAAAATTCATGACATTTTTAAGAAAAGGCAAGTACGTCATGCCTTTGAATTCGCAAATCCTTATAGAAAGTCGTATTCATCTACCAGCTATCAACAAAAAGTTATACGTAAATTTTTGGTTTATCTTTGTAAATTGAATATTTTTTAAACGAAAAAATGGAATCGTCTTACATCATTGCCATGCTTATTTCGATATTTTGTCATTGCATTGGCCTCTTCTACAATCCTATCGAAGCCAGCACAGAATCAACAGTGTTTTTGATCATCGCCATTATATTTCTGCATAAATTGAAGACGGTCTTTAGACCAAATTTGACTTATTCTCAAGGCGGTCCATTCCTTGAGGTGGCGGTTCTTTGCCTGGCGATGCAAGTGCTCCTAGTCGCCATGTGGTTTCCCGTCTATCAAACTCTGCAATTCTTGGTGAACTTCATTTGTGGTTATCTGCAAGGTCTTTTGAGCGATGATCTCGCTTGGTTAATGGAAAAAATCAATCAATCGGCCGTGACAGTTGTTCTCCTGGCCATGGAATTTGCTGTGCTCCTCACTACCTTCCAGATCAACGATTTGCAACGATTTTTCGGCTGCAAAGAAGACTGTCTCTCGGAGAGTGTCCTTTCTCTTGTGGATAGGCAGGAGATGTTAGCTCTACGCAGGGAGAAAAGACTCTTGCAGAAGGAGGGGTACTTTAAGCCTGCACGGAAATAACAAGGAACATTCTTTCTTAATTTAATCAAATTTATAATCTACGCCAAATGTATTTAATAAAAGGTTGTATTAGAAATTTGTTTAAGAAATTTTAAAGATTTTTAAGCAAGTAACTTTTACACTCAACTTGACAAGCTCTTACTTATTTTTCCCTGTTTTTTAGTTTCAATTTATATTCTTTCTCCTTTAAGAAACACCAACGACAATATGCAGCAAGCTCTGCTCCATTGGACGTGATAAACTTTCGGTAATAATTTATTGCAATCACTCAACTCAACGGCCACGTCAATGGCCAGTGCAAAAGAAAAAACCAGGAAAAATCCTGAAAAAGGAAAAATAAGTAAAGCTGCGAGAGGACTGTGCAATATTTTAAATTGCATCCCGAAGGATGATAAAAAGTGAGCAGAAACGAATGAAAACATTCGAATAAAATGGGCCGCACATTCGACACACGTCGCGACAACGAATGTGCAAAAAATTGAAATAAATAAGATATAAAATGGTGGCATACACACACACTCACACACACACACACGATTGGGAGGACAACAATTTATGCATCGCAGATACATATGGGCAAACATATATATTTACGACTCCCCATTCGATGCGATAAGTGTGTTTATTTGAGTTTGCCCAATGCAATATTTACAATGCAGCGACACCAATCTTGGGGCATCTCCTCGGGCGCACACGGCGTATGTGGAATGTGGAAAATGGAGTGTATATGCGGCAAATGCCTGTTTGCTGACTCGGCGACACTGTGAAGACACGCCCCCTATATGGGCGCAATTAAAGCAAACAACCAGGGAAAACTAATCTCGAGCGGATCGTAAATTCCAAGCGAGCATTCCTGTGGGACACCCGATGGATGTCAAGGATACCACACCCGAAAAAAAAAACACCGCCCCTTCTCATCCGGCAATAGAAACTCTGCACGAAATCTGCGATGCCGGCGGAATGACTAAGCTGCCTTTCTAATTCCTTCTCCAGTTTGTTTACGCTGCCAGCGAATCTGAGGAGGCTATACGTCCTACTCCCATTGCTGGCAAAGAAGCGGCCATCGCATGTGGATCTCGGAGCTGCTAAGAGTGCCAGATGCTGCGCGCATGAGGTCGGGATTGAAATGGAGAGCCGAGGCATCATTTGCATATTAATTAAATGTCAAAAGAGTAACGCCAGCAAACTGTTTGCGACCGCTTCCAATTAAATTGACTTGCAATGTGGAACAGGATGGGCAACTACTAGCTCAGTCAAGGTCAACTGAAAGTTTGGAAAAAAAATAGTTTTATGACCTTTGTAAAATTGATTAAAAATTTTTTTGTATGCAGCTTAAGCTTGCACCCGCTTCCGTGGCGATTTGCCACTGTTGAATCATTCTATCGATAACGGCCTACTTGGATGCTTTATCCGTATATTTTTATGTTGTGTGTATGCAGCTTAAGCTTGCACCCGCTTCCGTGGCGATTTGCCACTGTTGAATCATTCTATCGATAACGGCCTACTTGGATGCTTTATCCGTATATTTTTATGTGTGCTTGATCTTTCTGGGGGACTCGAACCCATGCCGCCGGAATACTTCGGTTTCACCTTAACCCCCCTGAGCCACCATCCGTGGCGATTTGCCAGCGTCGAATTGTTCTATATAAGCTACCTATCGATAAAAGCCTACTTTGATTCATACGATATATTTTTATGTGTGTGTGTTTGATCTTTCTGGGGGACTCGAACCCATGCCGCCGGAATACTTCGGGTTCACCTTAACCCCCTGAGCCACCGTCCGTGGCGATTTGTCAGCGTCGAATTGATCTATATAAGCTACCTATCGATAACAGCCTACTTGGATGATAATCCGTATATTTTTTTATCTGTGATCTTTCTGGGGGAATCGAACCCATGTCGTCGGATATTTGGGGATTCACCTTAACCCCCTAGGCTATCTATCGATAACAGCCTACTTGGATTCTTTCGATATATTTTTATGTGTGTGTGTTTGATCTTTCTGGGGGACTCGAACCCATGTCGTCTATCGATAACAGCCTACTTGGATTCTTTCGTTATATTTTTTTTTATGTGTGTGTGTTTGATCTTTCTGGGGGACTCGATCCCATGTCGTCGGATACTTGGGGATTCACCTTAACCCCCTAGGCTATCTATCGATAACAGCCTACTTGGATTCTTTCGATATATTTTTATGTGTGTGTGTTTGATCTTTCTGGGGGACTCGAACCCATGTCGTCGGATATTTGGGGATTCACCTTAACCCCCTAGGCCACCTATCGATAAAAGCCTACTTGGATGCTAATCCTTATATTTTTATGTGTGTGTGTTGGATCTTTGGATCTTTCTGGGGGACTCGATCCCATACCGCTGGATTCTTGGGGATTCGCTTTAACCCCCTAAGCCACCGTCCGTGGCGATTTGCCAACGTCGAATTGTTCTATAAAAGCCTACTTGGATGCTAATCCGCCAGCAAACTGTTTGCGACCGCTTCCAATTAAATTGACTTGCAATGTGGAACAGGATGGGCAACTACTAGCTCAGTCAAGGTCAACTGAAAGTTCGGAAGAAAAATAAAAATAAAAATTTTATATTATTTTGCTGTATGCTGTTCTCGCACCCGCTTCATGGCGATTTGCCAGCGTTGAATCGTTCTATCGATAACGGCCTACTTGGATGCTTTATCCGTATATTTTTTTTATGTGTGCTTGATCTTTCTGGGGGACTCGAACCCATGCCGCCGGAATACTTCGGTTTCACCTTAACCCCCTAGGCTATCTATCGATAAAAGCCTACTTGGATGATAATCCGTATATTTTTTTATCTGTGATCTTTCTGGGGGAATCGAACCCATGTCGTCGGATATTTGGGGATTCACCTTAACCCCCTAGGCTATCTATCGATAACAGCCTACTTGGATTCTTTCGATATATTTTTATGTGTGTGTGTTTGATCTTTCTGGGGGACTCGATCCCACGTCTTCGGATACTTGGGGGATTCACCTTAACCCCCTAGGCTACACCTATCCATATAACAGCCTACTTGGATCCTTAATCGTATATTTTTATGTGTGTGTGTTTGATCTTTCTGGGGGACTCGATCCCACGTCGTAGGATACTTGGGGATTCACCTTAACCCCCTAGGCCACCTATCGATAAAAGCCTACTTGGATTCTATCGATATATTTTTATGTGTGAGTGTTTGATCTTTCTGGGGGACTCGATCCCACGTCGTCGGATACTTGGGGATTTACCTTAACCCCCTAGGCTACCTACCGATAAAAGCCTACTTGGATTCTTACGATATATTTTTATGTGTGTGTGTTTGATCTTTCTGGGGGACTCGATCCCACGTCGTCGGATACTTGGGGATTCACCTTAACCCCCTAGGCCACCTATCGATAAAAGCCTACTTGGATTCTATCGATATATTTTTATGTGTGAGTGTTTGATCTTTCTGGGGGACTCGATCCCACGTCGTCGGATACTTGGGGATTCACCTTAACCCCTATTACTAAGCTACCTATCGATAAAAGCCTACTTGGATTCTATCGATATATTTTTATGTGTGAGTGTTTGATCTTTCTGGGGGACTCGATCCCACGTCGTCGGATACTTGGGGATTCACCTTAACCCCCTAGGCTACCTATCGATAAAAGCCTAACTTTTTATTCTTACTGTAGATCAGTTAATTATTTATTTATTTGTTGCTAAAAACTGATATTTTACAAGCACTTTAAATTCCTAGGAATTACAAAATAATATTACAATTCAGGATTTGATCTTATGATTTATTTCACTTTCAACCGTTTCCCTCGAGTATCAGGTTGAAAAGAAAGCTTAGGAGCGTGTTCACCGGCTAATTTAACAGAGATTTAACATCCAGGCTTAAAATTATCGATTGGGTCGGTTCGGCGTTGCCAGATGCCGCGGAAGCAGTTCACTATCTATCTCAACGCTAACATTAACTTTCAAGTCATCTAGCACAAAGCCCACGATTGTAACAAATTGAATTCGCTCTCAGAAACCTAATCCGCAAAGTCCAGAAATTGACTTTCCAATATTTATTCCACTTCAGCAAAATGGAAGCATACTTAGCCAGAAATTGGCATCTACGCATAGTGAAGCCCAATCAACGGATCCTTTTGCCATTTTCAGGTAGTTTTCTTGACTTGAAATGAAAATTCCATAACCCGCTTATGACGCACTACTAATAGACATAGAGAGAGAGTAGGAAAAGGATGCAGGATGAGATGAGGATACGGCCTGACAACGACAAGTGACATTTTGCATCAATGGCCAAATGCATTTCACTTTTCCATTGCTGGTGGCCAAAAGATTCGTCTGACAGAGTCTGCTTGCCAGATGCACACGAAACAATTGAGAGTGTGGCAAGGAGGAAAACTGAAACATATGTATACTATGCGGGTAGTTCTACTTTCCTTTTTCAGGTTAAAGTGTTGAGGGATTTCCGATTTGGATTTTTGTTCTTGCTAGTAAGTACTTATTTTCTTAACTAAAGGTAATGGAAAACTGTCTTAATGGACTGTTAATTACCATTCACTTGCACACTTGGCTATGTGCAATGTGTGGTTAAACGAAATATGCCGAAGTCCTCATGACAATTGTCTGTAAGATGACTTTGATTTCATCTTTGATGTCTCATTTCTGTTAATGGTTATTCTTTGGTTAAACTCCAACTAATCACTATCCAAGCCAGGGCTTCCCGACATGTCAATTAAGTGATGAAAATTCCTTATCTACCCACATGGCACTGGAATGGTTTTAGCCATTTCCCCCTCACTTTTCCCCAAACTGTCTCCAGTTTTGGTAATTTGCCAGGCCAAATGTCTGCTCGAGTCAAAAGCCAAACTTGGCAACCGCAGAAGCAGCAACTCGAGGAGCAGCTGTCAAAACGTATAGACGATGTGAAGTGGCTATATCATGGAGCTATCCGGCAACAGTTTGAAAAGGGTTGGGAAAGGATACAGAGGGGGAGAGAGAGGGGGATTTTCCCAAATCCCAACTTGCATTCCACATGCTGCGGCTCAAAAGATATGTAAATCTTCAGCGTCGATGGAAATTCGGCAGCAGGAAATTAGCACGCAAATTACAACTGAACCGACATCAAGTGAGGCGCATATAAAGCTGGTCGTAGTTAAGTATATATTTTCACTTGTAAGGAAACATATCCTAAGGTATATATAATATAACATTTAAATTAAAGTTCTAAAAAATAAGTGTAGTTAAAAGTTGTTTATAATAATTCTAAGTTATTATTATAAATGCCATTGCATGTATTGGATTGCTTTGAGTGTGTTCAAGCTTTTACAATTGGTTTTCCTAGTTTCCAGGCTGTAATTTAGCATTTCGCCGGCAGTCAGCAAATCCAGTTACTCAGCTTGAGCGGCATTTTACGCTCCAACGCTTTCGCGCAGAAAATTCCTTCGCATTTTCACAGTGCCTTCTCGCACTTAAAACGATTTTCGGTCTAGCCAGTCGAGCGCAAATAAGTCAAACGGAGTGACCTTTAGACTGAAGTCGAATGCGAATCGTCGTAAATCGCATAAAGGGCATTTACCAATTGTGCACTTTCAGCAGCTGCAAATTTTCCATTTATCCATTCAACCCACAAAAGTATGCTAAACACGTGGCAAACCGTTTTTGTGGAAAATCAAATTATCAGCAAATTTATTTAATGCATAACATTGGGGATGATGGTCATCCGCAAAATAGAAAGAAAAAAAAACTAAAAATAAATACGCTTTACACACACGCAATTAGCAATATTTCGGGCGGTCAAAAAAGCCATTGAAAATTAATCGAAATCAATGGCAATTTTCCGTGGTTGGTTTTTCTGTGTCATCCCGATAACCGAAAATTGACGCCGAAAATGCTAAGCCACAGAAGCTTTCAGTTTCGGTAGAGCGTATAGCGTATATTTCAGGTTAGCCCACAATAAATGTTTATCAATGAGCCATTATCAGCTAATGGCAAATTCTGTGCAATAATCGAAATAAACAATTTGGCCTATAGCGTGGGAAATTGTAGGCACCTTTGAGCCAAAATTGACGAATCAATTTAACACATAAACGCCTATAAGCCAACTACTTTTGGACTTGTTAAACATGCAAGTACTCTGGTCGCAAGCACACTTAATTTAGCATAAAAGCCAAGTTTAGAAGTTTCCGGAGGGCCACATTTTGTTTGCCTTTCCATACCCCCAATCTGCCGCATCGAAATGGAGCTAGCCGGAGTTGATGAACTGTAAATGAACTTTGTGTTTGAATTCGATTTAGTTTTATTGCAACATGCTTGAACAGCACTCCATCTAGACAGTTTCGCCAAGGACTCGGACATGCAAGGATGGCAGGATGGCTGGATGGCTGGATGCTGAATGCCTGCATCTGCCTGTTGGGCTGCGGGATCCAAAGTTGGGGCATTAAATAGCAGCAGCTGCAATTTGTGGTCCATGATATAGGCAAAGTACACATAATATCGATGCAAGTAGAGGAATGGGAATGCAATATCGGTTTGTCCTAAACAGCCTTTTGGGCATGCAAGGAACATATTATTTAAAGGAAACATGAAATTAAATGTCGAGAGAGAAAGTTATTCCATACTTTACCTAGTTAGTCCGTAAGTTACCGATCAAAGACCCTAAGCAATAAGCAATACATCAACTCAGAGTCATTAAATTGAAATCCCAAAACCAACTGAGATATCCAACAGCCGTGTGACACTTAAATGATTCACATCATTTGCAGTTATGTATTTTTTTAATTTTGCCACTTAGTATGCATGACAGTCCCACAGATTTTCACACAGCCGACAAATGAAGACAGATGAGTTGGCAATTAATCCAGCAGTCGACCATGAATTCCTTCCCCACCCACAACTATTTATATATAAATTTAAAATGCATATAAAACTTATCAGTCAAATGCAGACAGGGCTTCATCCGCATCAACTTCACTTTTAATTTACATTTCCATTAAGTCAACACGAAGTAAAAAAGAATTTGGCAAGGAAAAAGGAAGGACTGAAAAGCCCTACTTCAGCAGAAACCAAAAAAAAAAAATGGAAAAAACGAGGTGGAAAATTTACTGAAACAAAGTCAACACGAATTTGCAATTTGGTATAAAATTTCCACTGCGACCGCTGCACAAATTGCTAATTCGCTAAAAACTTCAAGTTGACACAAGAAATTTGTGTGAATACATTTTTTATGTGCCTCCTTTTGGGCATGGCGTTGAATAAAAAAGAGCGAGGAAAAGAGAGAGCACGTTTTAAATAGAAAGAGATGGGAAGTGCAAAGCAAACGGCAAAGGAAACTCAAGTATGGCTGAATTTCCACTAACAGATTTCAGACTTTCTCTGGGTACATTGATTGGGCTATGGACTTGCCTTCAAAATGTATTTGGCCTGAAAATAAAAATAATAAAAAAACATTTATCATAACCCTTTTCTGCAAAATTCCCCCATTTGTCAATCTATCTAGTATTATAAAATCAGAACTGTCTTTCCAAACAAAGACCAGCAATGCTGATATGCTCTTGACAAACTAAACAAATGTTTCGCAAAACTGATAAGGTTAAATGGATTTAGCAACTGCTTTCAGTAATTGTTGTTAATGGTGATAAGAAAAGTGAGGAAGGCAAGGCAAGGTCTTCTAATCAGTCAATGCAACCTGTTAATCAGCTTATTAAATAATCAAATAACCCATAAATAATCATTATCTGTGTTTAACGATTTGCGTAAAGTGTGACAAACAATTGCTTTAATTACCTACCTTCCTTACTTACCCACTATATAGTACGCATTTGTGAATGAAATCAGCTGCTATCTCTGTTCGTTTACTTTTCGCTTTGTTGGTCTTATCAAAATCAAAGCAAATCGCCGACAGTTTGTAAATATTTGCACGGTTGAGTGGGATCTTGACAGGGCTTCGGATTGAAGCTTAACGCGAACAGTGTTTGCATATTTTATATAATCCCCCTGCGATGCTGGCAAAGGGGGATACCTCGAAATATGGGGCATCTACAGCATCATCATCATCATCATCTGCTGCAGCACAAAGAAAATGCATTTATCTTGGGCCACTGATGCATTGGTTGTTATTAATACATCCGATTGATAAATACCCAACTACTAAATTAAAACTGTCAACGGCGAAACCTTCGATTCCGGCAGCTTTGTTTGGCTCGCTTCTCCCCCAGCTGGATTTTCGACAACAAAGCATTTGACATTAGTTGAGATTTTCAATGCTTTTACCCCATTTTGGCACCCTCCATTTCCCACGACGCTGTAAACGTGTCAAATGGAGCAAGAAAAACGCGACCAAGGGGCGCAGAGTAGTTCGGGAAAATAAGAAGTAGATTGGTACGGTGGTGCAGCCATAGAAAGGCATCTACATCATCGCCATGACGCCGGGTCTAAAACTGCTGGCCAGCTCGGCATTTGGTCAAACTATTGGGTACAAAGTTCGCCAAATTGCAAAATGCCAAACGAAATGCAGAAAAGCCAGAAATTGCAAAGAAAGCATAGAAAATAAATAGTTTTTAAATGCCGCCCAAGGTCTTTCGCTTTTTCGATTTGATTTTTTTCCCTCGTTTTTGCACGTTTTGTGTTACGCACTTATGCTGAACGGCTGCTATTTATATATTTTAATTAGATAACAACCATAACCCAGACAAAACTGAGCCCTAGCCTGGCGCCAGTTTACAAAATCAATTCTTCAGGGACTTGACTCATATGAATTTTCTATTCTAATAGGCAGAAACACACGAACAGCAGCTGAATAATGCAAAATTTTTAAATTTATTTTTGACTCATGGAGGCAATATACCACCCAGTCACACCCATTTTATTATTGATATCTCCAGAGCAAGGTGGGAAATTTGGCAAAGTAGCCCTGCTCCATTTTTTATGTGCCATTATGAGTCAAAGCTGATCTTAAGGGTTTATGACTTTCAATTAGACCTATTATCTCTCAGGGTCTGTCAACAGTACAGTCCGTGAACGTTTTCGGAATGCATCAAATACAAACTTTTGTATCAACCTTTCCAGCGTACGTTACCACCCGTTCTTCATGTGACTAATGCATATTCAAACTGTTGGCTTTTTAAATCAATGTCATAAAATATTACTCAGAAGGTAGAGGTCATGAAAGCTGAGTTACCTTATATAATCATTTTATCTAGGTTATTTCAGAGTTCCCTATTCTAATAATATAGTAAATAATAAAACAAGTAGTTAAATGTTCTTTTTCTATATATTAATTTAAAGAGTTTTAACCCCCTCATTATCATTTGGAGCAGTTGACTCAATGACAGTGTCAAGTCAGCCCGTGTCATTTCCTCCCAGAGCCGCCACAACTGTTGAATTCAATAATAACACCCGATCCAGCTACCCGGTGAGTAAACAACGGCATTAGGAAGTGGGTTGGCAGGTGGCAGGGGTAGCTAAACTTTGGCTCGCAGGAAGGGGAAAACTTATTTGCTTCGAAATTACGTGTCGCCAAAGTTGGCCGAGGCGACATTATACAATTTATATGCACGTATTGCGCTCTATCCAAGATGAAATGTCGACTCGTTGGCAGAGGCATAGGAAGAGGCTGAAGCTGAGGCTCAGTCCGTGGCTGCTCATCAACGTCATCAACGAGAATGTAATTACATTTTCCCGATTCATGACAGTTTTGCATAACCAAGAGTCCCGTTCATGCCCTCGTCCTCGTTTCCGTTTCCTGTCACTTCCTCCTGTCTGGGATATTGCGTTCATTAATGAGGCAGGCGCGAGTGGCAGCCACAAAAGCCAAGCCAGGGATATGGAATCTGGACGAGGCAGTCACCGCCAGTGTGGAAGGTATCCTGAATGAGTTTGCAATAAGCCGTCAAGAAAACTCCATTTAAAATCTATTTAAAAAATCCGATTATAAAGGGTAACCATAATGGTAAAGGTGGGCTGTGTGTTCATAAAATTCCAAGTTAATGATATTTTGTTTTTTAAATAAGTTGCACTGCCATTACTATTGGCATTAAAGTGGAAAATGGTTTAAGAGCAATCTTAAGTTTATCTTATTTTAAAGAGATTAGATTAGATCAGCGATTAGAGTTAACTAATTGCTTTCTTGGTCTGTTTAAAATTAGATTTCTTTTTAAAAAGCTAATTAATTTGCAACACGTTTAAACTTTTTGCTATTACTAGCTGGCAATGCACCAAGATTAGTCATCTTTGGTCGGAACTCCATAAAACTCCCTCCAGTCAGTGGGGCGGCAAATCAACTGATAAGAAAATCTGGGTTGGTCCCATAAAAGCCCCCGCTGAGCCCCATACGACATCAGTTGATCAGTTGTCACCGACAAGTGCCAGCGTTAGCTCTCCAGATATTACAATTTTAATTAATAAATATACTTAACAGCGTAGATAAGTGAATTTCTGAGTGAATACAAAAAGTACAAAATGAGCGTTCAACAAGTAAGGGGAAAAACCAATTTAAAAGTAGCTATTTATAGTTTAACTACCTAGAAATGTTTACTAAAATGGAAAAAACAATATATAGTAAATGTATAAAAAATAAAACAATTTCAGTTCGAGCAAGAGGTTCTTCAAGCCCACAATTCATATCGTGCCAAGCATGGTGTTCCAGCCCTTACTTTGAGCCCCAAAACTGAATCAGTTGGCCACCGATTGGGCCAAGGTAAGATCATTCAAAACATCTTTAGTTATCCAAAAACATTCCCTTACAACATTATTACCCCAAAACAGCATTTGCTGTCCATAAATCGATTGGAGCATCGCCAGAACAGCGGATATGGAGAGAACCTCTATATGGCCTCCGGCGGAAACTTAGAAGGAAAAGATGCTGTTAGATCTTGGTACGAGGAGATCAAACATTACAATTGGAATAATCCATCGTTTCAACCGAGCACCGGGCATTTTACTCAGGTGGTCTGGAAGAGTTCCTCTGAGTTGGGAGTCGGCTTTGCTAGAAGGTAACAGCTTTGCCTGTCTAAAAATTATTCATTTTGATTTAAATGTTATTTTTTAGGGATAATACCATCTACGTGGTGTGCAACTATAATCCCCCTGGCAACTATATAAACCAGTTCAGGGAGAACGTATTGCCTCCAAGGCAATAAATATGTTTTTTCTTATATGCCAAAGACATTCCAAAGATATACAGGACATCAATGAATTCTTAAAGATTTTATGAAGAATGTTTCAGAAACCTCACTTCATGAAGATTCCTTAAAAACCGAAAAAGTATATATACGAGTCTGTAAAATTAGGTCAACATTCCTTAATTTGTACTCTATAATTAATATAAAAACGCAGCCAAAGACACAAAATAGCTTTTATGGTATTTGACAATCAATAAAACTTTCCAAAGAACTTCAATTCTAAGTAACTTAAATATTTAACCAAAAAGAAAACAAATAAAAGACAAAATGTAAATAGAAAAAGCATTTTTAAATTTTATACAAGATCATTTCGTTTTAATTCTTCTACAGTTTTTAGATTTTACATTAAGATAGACACATTAAAGATTTTCCCCCATTGACTTAATCACTCTTCGATAGTGCAGAGAGTTGGCTGTGTCCTACTGGAAATTCCGGCAATACTGCTGCTTGAGTATCCTTTTTTTGAGACCTTTTTCCTGCTGCCAACGCCATCGTTTATATCCGAGGAATAGGAACTTGAAGAAGTTAAAGTTGCTGTCTTATTGCGAGTTTTGGCTTGCTGGCGATGTACGTAGCTTCCACTTCTGCGGATTTTGCGATACAGAGAGATGTATTTCCCCGCCGTCGTTGTCCTGGGAACAATGCATTGTTCACAGAAGGCGGTCTTACTGCGGGCGGCCTCGCTTAGCTGGGCGTGGCCCAAAGCTTGCAAGAAGGCCAAGACAAAGGCATAGCAATTGTGGCTCTCTTCGGCATAACTGGCGATGGACCACCGCACCGACTGAGCGCAAATCTATTAATGCAAATGGACAAGGCAGCGAAGGAAGTTTAGAGATTTGCATTCAATGTAGGTAGGGTGACTCAATTTGGTAGGCATAAAATTTGAAGTTTTAAAAGCAAAAAATATATTTTCTAAATTTTTAAACTATTTTTTTGATTTAATTAAACGAAAATTTAGATTTAATTTGAATTTCTTATTATAAGTTGAGCCACCCTTTAAGCTTGTACTTACCTGCTGCAGGACTTCGTCCCAAAAGTCGTGCCACGGCTCCGGTACATCGCCCACTAACAGCGATTGCCTCCACTCCGTCGGATTATCATCCCGCCGATGACGGCGCAGGCCAAAGCGATCGAACTCCACGATGTCGCCGCCGGATGTGGTCACTGCGATATGCAAATCGGTGGCATTGTTGTAATCGCTGCGGAAACAGAACGCATCAAAAATATATTCCAGCCATTAAAGATACTAGCTAAAAAAAACAGATATATATATATGTCCCTGGGAAAATTTGCACAAATTTATTTGAACTGATTCTGGCTGGGATTAAATGGAGGGAAGCCGCTTGGAATAGTCTGCCTCGATTGCTTGGCTTTGGTCTATGAAATTTGAATTTAAAATCAGGAAAACTAAAGGCCTTTCGAATTTAAAGAGTACATTTGGAATTTTTGCTCTATTTTTATCCTTGGAATAATATTTTAATAGAAGTCCTTAGATAGGAAATGGAAACGGAATATCCTTTAGTATTTTTCAAAAACCCAAGCTATTTTGTAACTTCAATTTGTAACGCATTGGAAAAGTAATAAAAACATTTGTTTGATTTGTTCATGGATTTGAATGTCAGCAGCTGCAGCAAATATGCTTTCCCGAATGGCCGGTCCATTCATGGCCGATACTCACTTGAGGAAATCGCCGGCGGAGGGACGGAGGACAATGGCGCACGGATGCTGTGTGGCCCGCACAAAGGGATATGGCAGGCGAAAGGGCAGGAGGAGTAGATGACGTGGCCCGCCTCTGTCTAGGTCTGCATTTGGATCTGCATCAGCATCCGCACTCGTATCCGCATCCACATCCGCGTCCAGTGGGGCATTGCATTGGGGACAAGTGTGCGGCAAAGTGAAGCAGAAAACTTTCACGTTGCAATGATGAAAACAGAGGATGCCCGGATCCGAGGTAATTGTGGTTGTACTTGTCGTAGCCAACATGGCTCTGTGTGTCAGTGTGGTTGGCTGTACAGTTAGAAAAATAAATTCAAAAATAATAAAATCAATTTTTTAGTTAAAACATTTTACATAAATCTTCCAAAATATGGTAAAAATTAAGTTAATTTCAAGTCTCAAATTCCTTTTGGCAAAATAAAGTCAAAAATTCGTTCATCATAAATATAGAAAATATCAAATAATAATAATTACCTCGCAGAAAATCAATATTTGTTAGTAGTTTTTCCCTGTGTATGATAGCTCCTACTCCTGGTTCCTGTTTTCTAACTCCTAGACCCTGGCTCCTGGCGCCCTGGCTGTGGATTCTTCGCCTTGTGCCCGTATTATAATTGATACACTTTGTCTATGGTGCCACTCTCATCGTCCCCGTGGCCTCCTGTCTTTGGTGCTTGTGGTTTTTCCGGCCAGGCCTGAAACGAAACGTAACGAAAAATTCTTGTAAATAAGCCGAAACCAGACGAAGTTGCGACCAAAAGCGGTTTGCCAGGCACATTCGGGCGATGAACATTTTCTGTGGTCAGCATAAAGGTGAAGGGTCATGGAAAAAGGACTAAAAGGAGAGTTGGAGCCAAAAATTCCACAGCCTTTGCGTTATTTGTCATCATTATTGCCTGGGTCTCTTGGTTAAAGTGTTTTTAAAAGCTTTTTGATGTTAGAAACACGGCACTAAGTAAGGGAAATTTTGAACTAAAAATTTAAAAATATGATAGGTAAAGTAATTACTTTAGAAATTTGTCTTCTTCTTACTAAATTTTAGTCATCAAATATAGAAGTAATCGAATTTATATCATGTTTTATTTTCAGTTTTCCCATAACCTAAACCCCAAGCTAACCACAAGGCAAATATATTACCAACCCTTGTTAGCGTGTCCTGAAAATCTTGACTAACCAAAAGCAAACCTTTAGTGCCGCACCCTCTAACCAAAAAGGGAGCTCCTCAATCAATTAAAATCGTTTCGTTGAAAAGCCACCCCGAAAAAAAATCCCCGTCATATGTTGGCCAACGAAGAAGAAAGCCGGCTTAAAAGAAAGCGGGCCAACACACAAAAACGTAAACAAACCGGCAAAATGCGAATCCACCACCTGACCAAAAGGAAAAATCGGAAAACTGAAAGCCACCAAATTGCCCAAAACAATAAAGGGAAAGAGAGTCTGAAAGTCTGGCAGATAAGAGAGAGAGAGCGCCAGGGAAATTCTATTACCTTAGGTGGAAAATGCATAATTCACGACAGAATTTCCCGGCTCGTTTTGCTGGACTCGGCAATATCGGGAACGATGGCTCGAAGGAAGCTCGAGGCGAACCAGTTGACGGCGAGCCGTGCGAGCAGACGGTCGTGTTTCAGTCGCATTTCCTTTGAGGAAAAGTACCCGATACCCCAACATAGAAAATCCATCATAACCATCGACACAAGTGCAACGTTGCTGTGAGCAGCACCAACCAAAAAAACAGCTGAAAAACTGTGTGCGAATTCGATTAAAAAAAACGCAGGATATTCCGTTGTAATATCCTTGCCAAGCAAATAGAAAAAAAGACTAAAAAAAAAAATAAAAGGAAATTTTGAAAAAACAAACGGATTTTGCTTGTTTACAAGTCTTGCGGTCAGGACTTTTACGGATTTTCAGGGGAGTTAGTCGTGTTAGTTTGTGTGGTTTTGTCCGCCCGACCCGGTTCCCTGTGTGTTTGTGTTGTGCTGCTGCAAAGTGGAAGATGCCATGGCAACACATTGCTAATCGATGACGTGACCAAAAACAACAACAACAAAAACAACAACCAAAAAGGAAACAAAGCAACAGAAACAACTTTGAAAAAACAGGACCACCCCCCAACTTCACATTTGGGATAACACAAGGATAATGACCATAAACTGACTTGGTATGTGGCAATCAACATTCTGACAGCGGGCCCTTTGGAAAATTTTTTGGCCAACTGATAAGTGTGTTGCGGCTAAAGAAATTCATTTTTGATAGCCCCGAAAATGACAGCAAATGAAGCCCCTTAACCAAACTCTTTTCTTTTCCAACTGAATTGCCGCCTTTCAAGATCGAAAGAGATAGGCTACCAGCAGGGAAAGTTGACATTCTGCAAACAAGCAGACATTGCCGAAAGGTTATAATTTATTTCAACTTTTCCCTTTTGGTCCCTCTCACACCGCTCTTAACCCAATTAGTGGGCGTGGCACTTGTAAGAAATTAAAATGTTTACTTGCCAAACTTGCCAAAAAATTACAAGGCAGAGCGAGAGAGTGAGAGAGTGGAACTTTTCATAAAAACTTTTCTGTGACAGATTAAGTGGATAATTTTCTGATATAGGTCGCTAAGGATTACAGAAATTTAGGAAAATTTGTAGATAAGATAGGAGATATGTCCATCAAGGATATCTTAAATTATGATTTCTATTTTAATCTTATAAACTTTAGTAAAAATTTACAGAAACTTAACTTTAACATTCCTAAACAGAGTTTATTCCATAAATATTAAAGATACTTTTTAGCCATGAAAACTTATGGAATAGCCTTTGAGAAAGAAAGTTCATTTTCCTGGCAGTTTCCTCGCCTCTTTAAAGTAAGAGGCCAGCAAAAGAAGTTCACAAAGTCATTTCAAAGTATTGTTGAGAAAATATTTAATTAAGATAAATCTAAGAGAAGGATAAATTTGAAATTTATATTAAATATAAATTAGTATATTTTTTAGCCCACCTGTTCTTGAAAGAGTAATAATTAAGAAGAAGAAAATTGGCTTTTCTTAGGGTCATGAATAAGCAAAATGAAAAAGCCAAGCCAAGTAAAATGTCTAAAATAAATTGTGGCATTTGGCTTAAAGCCTCGAACGAAATCGCGGATAGAAATTCAGGTTAAGAAATGCAATAAAGGATACGACAACAGGCCTTGGGAGACTCGAAAAGAAAGCAAGCAGAGGTAGATGGCAAAATAGGGGCCATAACAGGCAACGTTTTCGGTGAAATCCAAACAAACTTTATCTCCATGTTGTTTGCCAACTTGAATTAAACACGCCCCCTAAAAACACACATGAAAAAAGCTGTCCGAGAAAATCTCAAAGAGTTGCGGAAAATGAAATTACAACTTGCATCCGTTTTCTGACTTGTTTTCTTCCTTCTTGGCAAGGTACTTGGCCAGGACCTTCAAAGGGAATTGTTTGGCCAAAAGAAAAACATAGAAAGAAAGGCAACACAAAAAAAAATTTTGAAAAAAATGCCTGAAATGAAGTTAAGTTTACGCATTTTTAGTGCATATACAAAAAGTGGATGTGAAAGGAGAGCAGTGGGGAAAAGGTATTTGCAAGGCATAAAACATTTGAAAAATGCAGAAGGCAAAAACAAATTCTGGACAAAATCTCTTTTTTTTGGTCAACTCTTTTCACCCAAAACTCTTTTTACCCTAAACTTTAGTTAACTTTAAAAAATATTAAATATTCCTTTTTAATTTCAACATAAAAACAATTTTTACCATTGAAGACAATATTTTATTTAATGTTTCCTCGGCATCCATCCAATTACTTTTTAAATATTCCCAGTGAAAGGGTGCCGCAGAAACAAGTGAATAATTAAGTGTGAGTGGGCAAGGACCTGCCAGATCCTGCCAGTAAGTAAATTTAACGGCAGCCACTGACAGTAAAAATTTCTCCAAATTTTATTGTCCCGGCTGCTTGCCCCTTTTCTTGGCCCTTTACGTCTTTTTTTTTTTCGTTATGCCAGGGAGGGATTCTTTTGTTTTGCTTGGTCCGCAGCTGGTGACGCAGGATATAAATTACATTGCCAACAATAAGAAAAGTAACAACCAAAAAAAAATAAAAAGGGAAGAAAATCAACAGCAGGAGCAGCTACAACAAGTGTTCAGTGAATTAATAACAAAACGGCGACAATAACGACAAAGTTGAAAATCCTGAAGGGCTGTCCAAATGAAATAAGCCGAGTTGACAACTTTGGTAGCTACCTCCTTTTTGCCCCAAAACTGAAACTCAAAATTCCCCGCAATGCGTGAATTAATTCAGAAGACACGAGACTCACACACGCGATGCGAGTTCTGTGGGCCGGAAAACAGGTGCGTGCGGGAAAACTCTTTAGGAGAGGGGTTCAGGAAAAGTGTTTCGTTCTTCCTTCAAACAACTTATGACAGCCCAGGAAATATTTTAATAATTAACAATCTTCCAAAAAGAATATAGACTTATTCCAAAAAGCAAACGAAAAATAACTTTCTTTCTATTTAGTTTTTAAACTCTGAGATGTAATGATTAGAAAATCTGAACTTTTATAAAATATTATTATTTTTTAATATATTTTTCAAATTTCTTTAATTTTATATCCAAAAAATTGAATATTTTTCAGAAGTTCCCCCTATACTTTATATTTTAGTTCTTAAACTTTCATTTTAAGATAAAACAACACAGCCTCCCCTTATTGATGCGCCTCTGGCTAAAGGTGTGCTTCATGCTGTTGTTACCTCACCTCCATTTTCCTGTATCCCACTTCTCCCCCCTTGCTTTCCTGCCACTTCTGGAGGATTTCCCTTCTTCAACCCCTCGACAGCTTCATAAAGCCAAGTGTTTGCGCTTTGAAGTTTCCGCTTCCGCAGTGAACAACGAAATGTTGTTGTCGCCGCTGGTTGTTGTTACTGGCTGTTGTTGTTTTTGTTGCTGTTGTTGCTATTGCGGCACAGCATAAAACATACTTATTTTGAAGTTGGTGGCACATCCGAAAAAGACCAGGAGACAGGATGTTCATGCAGAGAAGGGGGAAATTTAACTAAATGATAAAATATGAAAAGAAAATATTTACTTTCCTCCGATTTATCAGTTTGCTGAAAAGTTGTTAAACAAAATGAACCTAAAATTGAAATATTATATTTATATTTATAAATTTAATTAATTCCGATGTACTAAGAGTAGTTAAATTTCTCTCACTGCATGAAGAGCATGTCAATGCTGAGCACTTGGCGAATTTTCTTTCGGCTGCATTGTTGTTCACCTTTCAGCGACGCATCTGGTGTTTAAATCACGCAAAATTTAAATTACAAATTTGTTCTCGTTTTCAGTGGGCTCTCAGTGGGCCCACTCCCCCTAAGCGTTAAATTTAGTTTGGGAATTGTTTGCTCAAGGGGGTGAAAGTCAAATGACTGAGGGGTAACTTCGAGGTAAATATTTAGTTAACTTTCCGTTGCTGAATTTGTTTATTTATTGTTCAACGAAAAGCATCATTTAATCATAATTATTTCATTTCGCTTAATTGAAAGTTTTCAAGTTTCATGGCATTGTCGAAATTGTCAAAATAAATGAGGTCAGGACGGAGGATTAAAACCCACTTGAACTCCGATTTTTATACGCACTTTTATGCCATTAATATTTGTACACGTTGTGGTCATAAATAACAACAGATTCATGGAATTTTATTACGCACATTTTATGCGCCGAAATAACCAAAAATACCAGAGTGTGAATAAAAATGTAGGGGATTCGGAGGCGTGTTAAAAGGAAACTCGATAAGAGTGAAGGCGAGGGAGCGAAAGGCAAACACTTTCACTTTGTGCCCATTTAAGGTCGTGTATGTTGGCATTTTCCCTACGTACGTGCAATAAATAAGCGACTTATTTATGCCCCTCACACGGAGACACCACCAATAACGAAGTATTTGGGTTAGTAATGCCATTTACGAGGCAAGAACCAAACATAAAGAAAAATGTAAAAAAAAAAGCTATGTTTATGTTTCTGCCGGTAAATCCGTCTTCAATGTAAGCTCTGCTAAATCTTTAAGAAGAAAAAAATAAAAACAAAAATATGAGAGGAAAAACCCAACGGACAAGCGTTCGTCTATTTAACTAACTGTGCATAATTCATAATTTAATTAAGAACTCAGCGAAATGAAAAAAGTTACACGAGGGACATTGACGCGCCCCCTCTCTGTCTATTCCGCTCTCCCCATCTCTGTCTCCATTTTCCATTTTCCCCCTGCAATTTGTGTGTCAGCGTGTTTGAGTCAATGGCTGAGAAGCCCTGCTTTACAGTGGAAGGTGGCTAACGCTTTTCAGTGGGCGGTGGCTTGACATCTTAGCCATGTGCTGGCTGTCTGCAAATGGCCAACTTGGCAACGTTGGTTCGGGCCATAAGTCAAGGAAATCTCAGCACCCAAATGACAAGATTTTCCGCAGTTGAGGGAATGCATAAACAAAGCTCTAGCTGGGATTACGCTTTCCGAGGTGCTAGAAGAGGTTTGCTAAGCCCAAAGATGCATTTCGCTTCTAAAGCTTTTTAATGAAGGGAAAATGATGGTCAGGGGAAATCATGTGGGTTTTTGGTAAAGGTTGGAGTCTTTCATACTCTGCTTTAATTTTTAATAATTAAGATAATTAAATTTCTAAATATCTAAATCGAAATGTTTCTGCATTTTATAAAAGCAAACATAAATATGCTAATGGCCTCATAACTGATCGTAAATTAGTTATACGAAATTCGAAATATATTTTTGAATGCCTCATGAATTTAATATTAGAATTGGTTAGTTGCTGTTATAAATATTAAATCCCTGGCTAATAAATTACCGCAAATTTCCGCCACAGAGTCTGGCAATTGATTAAAACGCATTTCAGTGGCATCGGCAAACTAGCTGGGTAGAAGAAAACCTTCAGTGAAAATGCCAAACAAAACCGCGAAACGATTGTCCAGAACATTGTTCGATTTTTCCCACCCCTTTTTCCTCCAATCATTTACACATTTCCACCGCCAACTTGTCACAGCAGAACCTAACAAGCCACACAAAAGGCGTCCCTGCGACTTGGTCAGCTCTTCATTTGGTCAACTGCTGACAGCAACCGCCATCCGCCACCGAAAACGCCACCAACAAACATCACCGCCAGCAGCAGCAGC